ATGAGTAACAGGCTTTGGATTTAGTGTACTCTCTGCAATTCTAGAACATTCTTTCCTCTCAGTTTCTCTTCCCGGTATGATTGCCGCCTCGGTCTCACTAATCATGACTTTTCATTTGGAAGTCATTCCACTGCACCCAAGATGCAGTAGGTCACACTGAGGGCCTGTGGCTGGAGGGTGGTGATGGTCATATCATGTGTTGCTATAGGAATATCCAAGTTCATTTTTTATAACACTTTTAATTTAATAACAAGAGTTCGAGGAGAACTATGAGCAACAATTGTCCTCAGATCCCGGGCCCCTAAAAATCATGTGATGACCATAGAGTGTCAAAGCTATCCCTGGTCATACGATGGAGAAGGTGGCTAAGAGTGCTACAGAATATGCACGAGCTCAAGAAAACTGCTAGCATTTGGGTATTACCTCTTCCAGACTGCTCATGTTTTGAAATGTCCAGATTTCAAATATAGCAGCTGGCTTGGGTACCTTTGATGAAATTTCCTTCCCTCCCATGAAAATATCAGGACAACTGGGTGTTCTATGATCAGTTAACTTCTGATACGCAGCATGCTGGGTTTGTTCTCCAGGTTTTCACTTTCCTGAGCAAGCCTGATGTGTGACTTTCTGAGTACTCATCCAGTTATCACTTCTAGGTAATTCCTGGAAGTTTCCACCAGTGCTGTTAGAAATGGTGTTAGGAAGGAAAACTGCTGGATTCACGAGGGTGAGATTTAGAAGGGAATTCCCAAAAGGCTGGAGCGAGAGGTGGGGAAAACCAGAGGCAAAGAACGCAAAAGCAAGGAGAGAGAACTTGGGAGAGTTAATGGCCTTAGCTGTTTTTACTTTATACTTCTGCATGTGGAAGGGACACCATCCCTTCATAAAACCTCACCTCGTGGCCACACTGGTAATTCTCTGGCCTCTTCAGTCACTCCTGCTTCCTGTTCTCTCCTTCACTAATTAAATGCAGGCATGTTGCAAGTTCTCGCCTCTCCTGGGTCTCTCCACTGTCTGTACCTGTGGCTTAGCGATCACACCTTGGAGCGGCCTGGCACATCATTCCAGCCCATCCCAGCCTTTCTCCTGAGTGCCAGCACTGCATTTCCGCTGGGCACTCCCACCCGCATGTCCAACAGGCGTTTCCATCAGCGGCACTTCAGAAGTTTGCTGAATATGACGAACACTGATGGTTGTGTATGCAAAACGGGTGAGTTCGCGGACTGGATGCCATGGAGAAAACAAGAGAGAATCCACCAGCCCCTGTCCTCATCCAGGAACACATTCTTCTGCCCAGGAGGCAACAGTGTGATGGGCCATGGTAGGCTCCCAGGGAACTGCTAAGAGGAGAGGGATGTCACATCCATACAAGGATCCGAAAGTGCACCACAGTGTGATGGGCCATGCCAGCACCGGGGTGGGCTTACAGATAGTCTAGCCCACTGTGAAAATTACTAGGAAGAGCCCACAAAGAACTAAAGTGACGCATCTCACTGGGCTCAGCTATAGCTCTCCTGGGAATCTTCCCAAAACTGTTAATGTGATCGTGTTACAGTGACACAAGCACAGCCATGGCTATAGCAGCGTAATTCACGATAGCTAAATTCTGCCCACCAAGAGACAAATGAATGAAGAAAATGTGGTACGGCAGCACCTCGGCTTACAAAGTGAATTCCTTCCACGATTCCAGTCACAAGCCTAACTGGTCACAGATCAAATCAGTGGTGAGGTTCATTGATGACTTTATGGGCACATTTGATTCAGTTCACAACCAATTTGGGATTCAACCAGAATCCTGGAAGGAATTAAGTTCATGAACCAAGAGGCACAGCGGAGTACGATGCATCATGAAAGAGGACAAATTGGGGCCATTTATGGAAAATGGGTGAAGCACTGTGAGACTGGCATGTGAAGTGAGAGCAATCAGATGCAGGTTAAATAGTGTAGCTTCTCCTGAGTGAGAAACCCAAGACATGAACAACTGAAAGTAAAGGAGAGGGTAAGAAAGGCAAGCAGGTTTTGTTGGAAATGCAGAAGGTGATTGAGGCAAGGGGAGACAAAGGGGGATGGGGAGAAAGAGGATCCAGATGTGCACACCTGAGCCGATTGCCCAAGATAAATATAATTATTATATATTGCAAATGTCTTTCAGTTTTCAAATGATAGGACGTAGAGAGGTGGGAGGTAGGTGTGGAGAGGGAAGAGGGAAGAAAACATTCCAGTGGGAACAGAAGTCCAGAAAGAATGTGCCACACTCCTGCTTGGAAGAGGAAGACCCCAGGGCTTACACACTCACTGCAGTGTCCCTCCTGCCCCTCCCTTCCCACCCACAGGCCACTGCTTGGGCACTGACCTGAGCAAGGAAGCCTCCTCTTCAAATAGCAAAGAGCAGTCTTGAAGGTATGGAGCAGGCAGGTAACATGTTAGTCTCTCCTAACTGGGGGGTGGGGGTGTCTCTTGCAGGGGAAGGACAAGTTCAAATCTGAAAGCTCTCTGACAGTCCACTGGATGTGTGGCATGGGACCCAGGAGAAGCACCTTCCCAGAGAAGCTACAGAGGGACAGGAGTCCCAGCAGCAGGACTTGCTGAGCAGTCATATTTAGGTTGTCAGCGGAGCTGAAAAGTGAAAGTGACCAGAGAAGGTCGGGAAGGTGGGTGACCTGGAGGAGGGCAAAGAAATGGAAGCCAGGAGAAGGGAGGGAGAGGCCCTTGAGTGCTACACATGGCTGCGCAGGAGGGAAAGGCCCACTGGCAGACATGTCCTTTGTCATCACCTGCTGGTCCTCCAGGCCAGGTGTTCCTGCCTCCTCAGCCTATTCTCAGCTGCAGCCCTGCACCCCCAAAGCCCACTGGATCCCATGTCAGGCTCTTCTCAGTGCAGTCCCATGAACTCTTCGTCTCCCATGCCCATGCCTTAAGGTTCCTCTTCCACACAATCTGACTGCAGCACCCAAGGACACCTGCTGGGCCCTGGTATTCTTCCCCACTCAGTCCTGTACACTCTGCCACTCAAGGTTTTGCATTAGTGTCCCCTGCTCCAAAATCCTAGAAAATACCTGACAACCTACTGCTTAAAGGTCAGATTCCTCAAGAGGGCAATGCTTTTCTTCTGCTGTGAGCAGCAGGGACCTGCCTCTATCCCCTCCTAGGCTGTTTCTCTTGTACAACATCTGGGTTGCTACATTCATTGCTGAAAGAATATTCTAATATTCATTAAGAGTATCATAGGCCCCTAAGATATTCTCAGGCTCCTCCCATGGGTCAGAAGAGAGGGCTTTCCTGGGAGGGGTATAGATGTGTAGAATAGGATCCAGGAGAAGCGCCTTCCCAGAGAGGCTACGGAGGGACAGGAGGCCCAGTGGGTCCCTGGTACTTAGTGTACTAAGTCATGGGAACTTAAGATAGGAAGGAGACACTGACCCTGAAGGAAAGAGAGTGCCACATGATTGTAGGCTCCCTGGGGCTGTGTTATGGCTTACATCTAGATGTCCCCAAGAGCCTCATGCGTTCACCGGCAGGGCTTTTGGAAGGTGACTTGATTGCGCGGGCTGGTAGCTGTACATTAGCAGATGGGGGTCTCGTCAGAAAAGGCATCCCCGGAGGCGTGGAAGGATGTCTCTTCCCCAGCTCTGCCATGCACTTTCTGCTTTCTGCTCCCGTGAAGTGCACAGCAGTGTCCCTCTGCCACCCCAGTTCTGCCCGATGCCAAGTGACTATGGACTGAAACCTCTTCAACTAAAGCCCAAATCCAGTTTGTGGTTGTGCATTCTGGGGATTGTCTCCATGACAAGGAAGTGCTATGGTAGGCTGGATCTGAGTGTAGATGCTCTGCAGAGGCCACCTGAGTGAGGAGGGGGAGGCAGGCCAGACTTCAGAGAGGCAGCCATACCGGGGTAGGGTTGAAGACGAATTCTGTCACATCACTCTGTACTGAGCACCAAGTGCGAACCAGACTTGGAGCTCTCTGTGGCAACAGTGTGCTGCTTGCGCTTAGAAAAGCCACAGCTGATTTGTGGCACTTGCCTATTTCTGTGGTATAAATATCCCCACCGTGGCTGGCTTCAAGCTACCTGGGCTACACTAGGTGCAAAGCCGGGAAGAAGTGTGCACGTTCAGCACGAAAGACCTGGCGCAGGAGAGGTTCCGCTGCCACTGGCTGGGAAGCGGCAGAACATTGGGATCATCTCATAAAGCCAGACCCAGCCACCGAGACACTGCTGCCCACTCCACGGCAGCCCGCACTGCTCTCTGGGGAAAGGGGTCAAGACATGACCATATGGACAAAGTCCGTCTCTCCTTGTACCCTAGGAGGCTGTCAGGCCTACAATGAAGGAACCACACCTTCCTCTTCCCCATTCCACCCCTCCAGCAGGGGACCTGCTCCTGGGAGGCCCTGCAGTCTTGGTGGCTCAGCCCCCAACTAGAAGCAACCCCAAGCCACAAGTGAATTCTGAGCAGCACAGGGTTGGCTGTTGGTGAAAATGACAAAGCAGGAAGTTGCTCTGTAATGCCCTCTGCCCTCTGCCCAGCGCCCTTCCCCGCTTCCAGCCTCCACGGCTGGGTCTCAGGCCTGACCTCCATTCTGACTAAATCTTTGCTAAGGGCTTCCACAGCTGCACTGAGAGGAGCTCATGAGGGCACTCCTCGCACGGGCGCCCCTGCGCCCTCCTCCAGCAAGGGCGACACTCCCAGGCTTAGCCTTCCTCCTTTGGGGACACAGACTCTGACCACCCTCGCAGCCTTCTCCATGCAGAGGCTGGCTCCTGGCTGAAGCTCTGCCAAAGCCCACGGGACAGAACATGGGCAAGCATTTGTCACATGGCGGGGAATGTGCTCCTGCCCTACCCGTGCCCTCCCAGAATGGGGAGGAAAGCAAGCAGGCAGCTCCCAGCCCCGCCCCGCTGTGACAAGACAAGCGACGAGCGCCTCCGCAGGGCCCACAACACTTCCACAAGCAATGCTTTATTTTCTCGAGCTCCAGTGTTGCGCCCGCAGCAGCACATCAGGTTTACCCCCACACTCACACAGGTTAGCGGACACGTCCCTCCACAAAGGACTGGCAGCAATCTCAGAGCAAAAACAATCTGGACTCCAGGCATTTATGACATTGAAGAAGTAACACTTGTTCACCCTTATCACATTCATGGTGCAGCTCACAGGCAGGAGGCAGCAGAACACTCACAGTTCAGAGACACGGTCATCCTTAAATAAATACAACCTTATTGGCATAACAAGGTGTCGGACAGGCAGCCTCCAGGGCCACGGGAAAATGGGGTGCAGAATAAGACATGAGCATATTTATACAAACAAACCACACAAGAAACTGCTAAATAGGTAGATTTGATCCAAAGAAAACAGTCATGCATGGAGAATGTATCCATTTGAGGGTTTGAGAACAATGTTTTATTTGAAAATTCCAACCTATAAGTGAGATGAGCTAATTTATATAAACACGTATGCACTGTCAAAGTACCAGGACTGGATTCCCTGGCACTGCTGGGTTGCAAGAAGCTGCTTCACAGACGTCAGTGACTAAGGATGTGCCGTGATTATTGGGCGGGCCACTGGACAGAGGCACACTGTCCTAGCCAGCATCCTGCAATGTCAAAATCACGACCTGGAAGCAACAAGGCTGCGTGGGGCAAACAATACCAAACCTCAAGCTAAGGGTGAGAGAGGTAAAATAAATAGATGCATATCCAGTTGGTGCTTCAAAACCGTCCTAAGCTTCTCACACACCACTCACTCAACCTCACGGTGACTGGGTAGAGGCAGGCAGGACAGTTGGGACGCTCTGCAGACCCAGCTAGCATCACTGGGAAGAGGCAGCCAGGATGGCATCCTCAGACTCTGAGCCCGTGGAGCTCAGAGGTCCAGCTCCTGCTGCTCTTTTTGGTATCCCTTCAGCCAAAGGGACTTTTCTAGAAGTTGAATCTCTGCTGTAAATATGGAGAACAAAATCCTATGGGAAACCAAGAACATTTTACGGCAGGGCAGCGTATTCAGTGGACAGAGGGATGCGAGGAATTTTTTAGGATTTAAGTTCCAGTTTAGAATCTGCAACTTGACTTTGCCTTCCATCTGCAAAAATCAGCAGAGTGTATGTAACTCTATCCCAGCACAAGTTCAGAATGGACGTAAACATTTCCACAGCAGCGTGGTCACCAGCTTTATGTCTGACGCAGCCAGTACCCACCATTGAGAGCACGGGGGGCTGCCCCAAGGTGGGCCAGCTCAGCAGGCACCCTGCAGCCCAGCAGTAAGTCCCTGCCCAGGGAGAACGCATGCATATGAGGCACCAGGGAGGCCCTCCTATCCCTGATCTGAGAAAGTCTACCTTTTCACTGGACAACTGCTCGTAGCTCCTGGGACAAAAGACCTGTAATAGCAGAGCCCCAAGATGAACCTTCCCTAGATCAACCTAAGTCTTTCCCAGGCAGTGCCACGGCCCGGAGGATCCAGCTCTGAGCTGCTTCAGGGGCAGGCGCCACATGGCCACTGTGATAGTGGCAGGTCAGGACAAAGACTGCCAACACAAAATGCACGTGCTTCCTGCTCATTTACAGAAAGCTGTGGTGGGGGCTCAAAACAGGAAGCAGAGGCTGTCCGGTCTCCCCTCGGATACTGATCTGGAAGCAGCAGGCTTGTATTTTCTCTTGGGGACAAAGAAAAAATTTCAGAAGACAAAGCAATAAGACCTTGTGTTCTCAGGTGACACAGACCAGACAAGGCTGAAGAGGTAGCCATGGATGGGGATCTGGGTCAGGCCTGGCAAGGGGTCCTGGCTGGAGGGCCCAGACTTATCACTATCGAATGAGAGAAGCTAGGGCAGGACAGGGATACAGCCAAGTGCCAGTGGGGTGCTGGCTCCATTCCGTTAAATCCCTAGACTATCCCAGGAAGGGCAGAACAGGAGGAGATTTAGTCAAAACACAGAGAAGCCAAGTTCCCTGAAGTGTCCAAGGAAAAAAAGGCTGATCCACAACTAAGTCTTAGGATAAAGGTAGGATTCATCCCAAAGACCTACTCAACAAGTAGCCAGGCACGGGCATACCCAGAGCTTCTAAGTGCGACCTGGGGCACAGCAAATCCAGGTCACTCACAATAAGCAAGGAAGGGTCGCAACAGGTGTAAGGCCGGTCACCCCCACGCTACAGGGGTCAGCAGCCTACGAGTGACCCCGCTGCCTGGGCTACGTGTGCGCTCACACAGAGCAGGAAGAAGCATGCCAGGGCCCGATCTTTGGTCCTGGAATTTTTAGGAAAGACAGGGAATAGGCACATGAAGGTGAGCGACTAAATTAAAAATAGCTGCAAGTAGCATAACATTATTTAATTTTTTTTAATGTACCTTTTTCCCCATTAAGAGAAATTCAAAATATATAATGTTTATTATTTTACATTCAAGTGAAACTGCCACCTGGGGGTGCTACATGCACTTTTAGGGCTCATCCAGCCATGTATTACTTTGGTGCCTTTTTATTTAGCCTGATGGAAGAATTCAGCCCTCTTTAATATTTAAAAAAACAGCTCAATTGCTCGGCTGTAATACTATTTATGGACACACACAAGAACACACACAAATTCAAAAATTTCTACGTAGAAAAATAAAGGATAAACATTATCCATCTATTTTAGACTGTAAAATGGAACTTATATATATATATATATAATATATATATAATATATATATATAATCAACTTTAATGTGCGCAGTCACTGTTACGTCCTCTTCTTTCCTGTGTGACCTAAGGATCGAAGGAGGAGACTGCCACAGAGAAGCAGAAAGCTACATTCTTTGGGGGAGGAGAAATAGCCATTTCTTGCTTCCCTTCCCAAGGCCTTCCTGTCCACCACCACCTCGGATGTCCCCATGGGCAGGACAGGCTTCCGGTCAGGGGCCATCCGGTCTCTCCTGCTTCTAAGCATCAGGGAGCACCCATCCAGGGCACCCTCAGGAAAAGGGCCTTGGGTGTGCAGCCAAGGACAGGCAGGCAGACAGGGCAAGGCTTTTGTGAACAAAAGATTCCAGAACTGCGTCCCACAGCCCTTTCCTTTAGTACAGAGTTCGGTTCTCCAGCTGGTGCTTGGTGAGGAAGTACTTGAAAAACTCATAGACGGACCAGGAGATGGCAGTGGAGGGCATCTGGTAGACGACACGTGCCTGGATGCCCTTGAAGTAGCCTGCCAGGCCGTTGAGCTGGTACACTGTCCGGAAGGCGTTGGCCATGCCTGACAGCCGGCCACTGACGTTGGCCAGGGAGAGGGCCACGTTCTCCTGCGTGTTGAGCAGGGTCTTGCAGACGTCCAGGGGGGTGGTAGCAGCTGCGGCCAGTGCCCCGGCCAGACCACCGGAGATGATGTGGGACTGCGGGTTGTAGTCCCGCCGCGGGTTCACCTGCTCCTGCAGGAACTCGTAGGTGATGAAGTGGATGGACTGGAAGGGAATGTTCATGGTGAGCTGCGTGGTGTAGCTCCGGTAGAAGGCCCCCAGACCCTCGGTCCTCCACACGGCGCCGATGCAGCTGAGGGCAGACCGGTGCTGCGAGTTGTACATCTGCAAGCGCTGCTTCACCACTGTGCCAGGCGCAGGGCAGGATGGAACAGGCCAGGCCGGACGGGCAGCCAGCGGGCAGGTGGTTGATTTGGCCCCACCCCAGGTCGGAGCGAAGTGGGAAGCCAAGCCAATAGAGAGAAACGTGCACGTTAGACACACTGGTAACAGGTACAGCGCAATCACACACACAGCCCCAGCCCGTGAGACCGCGAGGGCCAGCTCCAGGCAGCCCCCGCTCAGGGCTCCATTTCTATCTTCTGGACCCACACCAGAGACAGCTACTTGGAGTATTCCCTGCCAGAATCTCCAGTACGCAGGTCCCCCACCACCTCAGGGAGCCACGCCAGGCTCCCTGCCCCTGCTGGCCTCTTCCATCCTGTCCGCAGCCCATGGATTAGACTCAGGAGCCAGAATTTCTAAAGGAGATTGTAGCTTTTCTGTCATAGTACAATTGGGACAACAGCAGAATTATATCTGCCCAAGTTCCGTGACAATCTCCAAGGAAGACCTTTGCTTTGTTAATACAAAAGTAACTTAATTATTGGTTCATGGGGAAACAGGAAATGAGGCCGTGTGCCCAAACCTGAATTGTAAGAGTCCACACAAAGGATAAAGACCTTAAACCAAGCTGAACCTCACTTTCTTTCCTCCTTCAAAAAATGTAAACAAACCCTCAGCTTAGGGTAACTAACTGGTCTTTAGTGCATGACTCACAAGACAAAACAAGGAAAAGAGAAGGCAGAGGGAAAAGAAGAAGGGAAGGGGGGAAGTGGGGAGAAGGGGAAAGAAAAGAAAAAGATAATGAAGAGGAAAAAGAAGAAAAGGAAAGGAGGAGGAAAAGGAAAAACAGCCAGCCCTTCCTACACACAGCCGGCCCCTCCTACCCATGATTCACCAGCTGTAGACTGAACCAATTCTACGTTAAAAATATGCAGGAAAGTTATGTCTGTACTAATCCATATAGACTTGTCATTACTCCCTAGGCAATACAGTACAGCAACCATTTATACCGAGTTAGCTCTTGTAAGTAATGTAGAGAGATTTGCAGTATAAGGGTGGATGTGTATAGCCTATACTTGAATACGAGATTTTAGTGCCCACTGATTCCAGTAAATGCAGGGGTCTCAGACTCTCCCAGGAATTCCATAGGATGACTGCTGTCTATGTGCATCGATCTGGGGATTTTAAGTTTCCTATGAACTGCTTCCCACCGATGTCAGAGCATCTTTTTCCTGGCCTCATACACAGCCTTGCCGGGCATGGTGGTGCATGCCTGTAATCCCAGTACTCAGGAGACTGGGGTAGGAGGATCCCCACGAGTTTGAGGCCATCCTGGGCTACTTTGTGATACACTGTTTCAAAAAAACACTGCCTTGAACAAACTCATTACAGAACATGCCAAGAGTCAGGCAAATTTACTTAAGGACACAGCATCTCTTCAGAATGAGCGGTGGCCGGGGATATAGCTCAGTGGCGTTAAGTACCAATCTCCAGTATCAAAGAAAAGAAAAAAATTAACAGAATGAGAGTATTTATGCTTGAGAGCAGAACACTGGCACCTCTGAGCTGTTTTCCTAATAAAAACAAGGAAGGGGTATGTTGCTCTGTCCCACCCACACAGCAAAGGAAACCAGCATAAAGGGAGGGAAGCACCTTGCCCCACCTGCCCATCTGAGCACCCAGGAGGTAGAGTCCCCTCCCCACCTCAGTGTGAAGCACAGTGGCTGAGGGCTGAACAAGCCGCCATCTACTGGAATGTGGGGAGAGCTGAGAACAAAAAATTTCGACCTCAAAAGACACTCTCCCTCCCCACACCCGCAAAAAAAAAAAAAAGGCAAACTTATAACCGACAACTTTATTGAAACTCTTTTGTTCAACTCTCCCTTCTGGCTAAGGGACCATTTTTGGGTGGGGCAGAAAGGTTGAGAGCGACTCGCATGTCACCTCAGGCCACCACCAAGTAGAGAATGACCCAGATAAAGGTGCAATAGAACTAAGCCCCAGGCTTCACTCTTCCCATCTGAGTCAGCTGAAGATAGCAGGACACGCACAAAGCTAACAGGACTCAGGTTTGACCAGTTGAGAATGGCTTTGTAATACTCTCAAAATTCAAAAGGGGAAAGAAAAATTAAAAGGAAAAATGATAGCAAAGTAAAATGGCCACATGTCAACTTTTGAAGCAAGGTAATAGACACACAGGGGTTTCTACCACGGTTCTCTCTATATTCACTTATGCTCCCAATTTTCCATAATCATTTTAACTTTTAAAACAATAAATAGGGGTCGGTGAGATAACTCAGTGGTCTAAAGCACCTTCTTAGGCAAGCTTAGGCAAGCGCGCAGGACCGAGGTTCAATCCCTGGCACTACATGCCGTGCCAGCCCCACCCCCAGGGTGGGCTGAGCAGGCCATAAGTTAATTAATTAATTAGGTGCAGCCCTAATGATTGGCTCCTGACAGGCTGCCCCTCAACTTTGCCTAGGGTTGAAAAAGGTTAACTAGGGCCAGATGTACACAAAAGTGAGTATACATGTGCAGCCACAGGTTTTGCAATAGTAAAAAGCTTGCAAAAAAACAGTCCTAGGAGAGCTCCCCCAGATCCCCAGGTCTTCCCAGGGGGCCTGCTTCTGTGGCCCTAGGGGCAGGCAGGGCCCAAGAACCAGCATTTCAAATGCCACCTGGGACCCTGCTGGTATGGAGACCACACTTCCTGTTTAGTTCTGAGGGGTCCAGAAGCCCCTTGCCCACCTTCTGCCCCCACTCAGGCCCCTCTGCACTCCCCTACTGCCCCTCCCTGGAACCACAGAACATTACCTTCTGCCGGGTTCATTACCGCATCGTGGAGCAGGGTGGCCATACTCCCAGCTATCCCTGCAAAACAAACTCCAGAAAATTACCCTCTGCTGTGGGGAGCTTGGAGGGAGTTCCCCGGAAGCTAAGGTCAGATGAACTCAGGCCTGGGCTGTTTGAAGAGCAGAAGTACTAGTGAGCGCTCCACTCAGATGGTGTTCCAATGCTTAAAACCCTGAAGTGAGTGGAGGCACTGACCAGAAACAGTGAAGGCTGACATAAATACGGTTACCCACGTTTAAATCCTGCAGAAACCTGGTTTTCTTTCTCGGCGTCAGCACTATGCAAAGACTGCTAATGTTTGAGGATACCCAGGAATCATACTTCTTGGCGTTCTCCACTGTCTCGATTTTCACTCTCCTGGCTCCTCACCTTGGTCTAGAGGTCAGCTCACCATGAGTTTAAGCAAAGGGTGTGCTATGGGGTGTGGAAGAGAAACCTTTAATTTCCTATTCAAATATAGACATTTTCACTGAAATGGCTAAGAGAAGAGAAGAGTGGGGCTGGAAGCCTGGTGTCTGGCAGATTTCCAGGGTAAGTTTGGGAAGCCCAGACTGGTCTAGCAGGAGGTGGCCCCTTGAAGGGTTTCAGGCCTGGCTTCAAGAACCAGGTGCTTTGAAAGCCTGAATCAGGCCTGGAATCATGCTTTCAGCTTGGCATTGCCTCCCTGTGGGGTGCCACTGGCTGGTGATTAAAGGTGGGAGGAGCAAGGACAGAGTAAGTTAACCCTTCAGAAGTAAACATAATAGCTCCTTTCCCCACACACACATACTTGCAATTATTCCCAGGAAGGTCAAAGGGCAAACACAGCCCACACCACAATGCAGGAAGGCAGCACTGGGCTCACCTGGATGTGAACTGGTGTAGTGAGGAGCTGCACCATTACCTCAGGCTACCTGGGCAGAATGCGGGCCCTGATATCATGGGCTCAGGCCAGCATCCAGGCATGGCTCTTAGTGACCGTCTCAATAGATGTAGCTGATAGCCAGCTTTTAAAGGCCAGAGAAACATCTGCAAAGCCACCAGGCCCTCTTACTACTAAAGCTGCTGATACAGGAATCTTTATGGTTCCATGAACATGACAACAAGGGGACAGGGGTTGCTGGTCACATCTAGCTCTCCACTGCTGAAGAATGCACTTTGTTAAAATAAGTACGCTTTATACCGCTATACATATTCCCGCTCTACACCCAAACAAAACACAAAGCCACAACACAAGCTGAGGATGGCCAACCTGGCCCAGCACCCTGAGCCTCATGCAGCAGGTTGTCCCCCAACACGCACCCCCCCCACCTCTCTCCCTCACATCAACCACACAAAGCTACTGCAGCCCTCAGTGCAGAGAGTTGCAGCTCAGACACATGGAAGAGGATGGGAGGTAAAACCCCCAAATCTCCTGAAGCTCAAAGTGGGAAAGGCCTTCCGCAGTGGCGCAAGTCCTTTGTCAGCCATAAAACTTCTTGACCTTTTAAAGCTTAGTTAGATCTTGGCGTTGTAGAGACCTGTTGTACCAGTTTTTAAATAGTCTCAAAGAAGCTGTCCAGATAACTTTTTTTTTTTTTTTTTTTTGAATCCAGCATTCAAAAGTTTGATTTCTATTCAGGATGTTTCCTAGAACTGATCGTTAACGGTTTGTGAATTTTTTTAAAAGAAATAACAACCAAAAAAGCCCCACGACAGGAAGAACTGAAACACCTCGGCCACCGAAGTCCCCCCGGGCTCAAAGAGCGCAGGCAGGGGACAGGAAAGCATGTGTGTGTGCGCGCGCGCGCGAGTCTGGGTGGGCATGCGCACACGACCCCAGAGTTCCTTTATCGTGAGCAAGCTGCCGAAGCCGAAGGCTGCTGGGTCACGCGGAAGAAGGCCCAGGGGGGGATGTGCCGAAGAAGAGAACTTCCTAACTCCAGACAAATGCTTTCAAAATACCATTGGCTAGGTGGCTGTTTCCTTGGTGATGGAAAACGTCATTTAAAGTCCTTTTCATGTTTTCATAGCAGGCAAAATACATGGCGTGGGCCGGGCCTGCCCCCATGATCATCACGTTGATGCCCCGCAGCGGCCTCCAGAAGCCTTCTGTCCGCATGATTTTCTTGAGGGCTCCATAGATGCTCGTGTACCGGGCTTTGGGATCTGGATTCAAACTCTGCATTCGTGTCTACGGGAGAGTGAGAAAATGAGAAGTGAGAGCTAATGAGGATGGAAAGACAGGCTTCCTTGGGCAAGAACATACAGTGACTCTCTCCTCCCTAGCTTGCCACCCTCCCCTGTGCACATAGATTTCACTCTGCCCAGTAACAGGGGAAGCACAAGGACCCAGAGAGAGGAAAACAAGACCCTGCGGTGCCCTGCTATGGGCAAGCTACTGATGAATCCCTCCACCCTACTGGGTCAGGGGCCTTTCATTAGAAAACATGTTTGCTGCAAGCAGCGATTAAACAATGCATTTGAAAACAGTAACACTGGAGTCCTGGGTCAAGAGGTGCAGTTATCCCCCAGTGTCTGCAGAAGATTGGTTCCTGGACTCCTGGCATACTGAAAAGGCTTCATATGTAACGGCAAATACTTTGCCTCTAGCTTATGTACAACATCTCATACTCTTTAAAGCAAGAGTCCCCAGAGATCCAGTCCTAGCCCAGGCCCGGTGAGTGTGTGGGAGAGTTTCCGGTTACCCTATGGCTGCAGGACCTGCCTGTCCCAGCCCTGGCGCACTGTGGGGGAGACCCTCTCCCACCCCCTTGGGTGCCCCACCACCACTCCGCAGCACCCCCACACCCCACCAGCCAAAGTGAGAATTTCTGCCATGTTCTGGGGACCCCCAGATCCAGCCCTAGCCCAGGCCCGGTGAGTGTTTGGGAGAGCTGCCTCTCCCCCCTACTCTACCTTGTCCTCTCCAGACTCAGTTCAGGCCTGGACTACAGGCCTGGGGTGAAACCCTGCAGCTGCAATCCCTGCAGAGAGAGTAGGGGACAAAGCCACCCAGCTAGTCCAGGAGCAGAACATCTTGCCAGAGGAACACAAGAGGTTCACTCCTAAGGGCAGCAGCAGGAAGGAGCTGAGCACAGCAGCCAGACCCAAGCCAGGCACAGCAGGATAAATCCAAACTTGGTAGATCTGCACCTGAATTTCAGTAGGTGCTAAAGTTAAAACTGCACCAAAGCTCTACAATAAGGGTCAGAAGACAGTGCTACACAAAATGACAACGGGAAGGAGCAAAATGCAACCTCAGAACCCAAGCCCACCCATAACAAGTGCAGAGGACACTAACACAATTATTGGGAACCACACAGCCGAAATCAATGAATCAATAGCTTCTGAAATAAAGAAACAACTGCAGAAAGGTATAGAGAAACTCAGACTGGAAATGAAAAAAGAAATCCCTGAATTAATAACTTCTGCAGTAAAGAATCAAATGCAGAAACATATGAAGGAAACCCAATGCCCACCCAGAACAAGTGCAGAGGACACTAGCTCAGCTCAAATGTATGAATTAATAGCATCGATAGTAAATAAGCAACAGCAGAAAGTTATAGAGGAACTCACAGCAGAATTCTTTTCTGAAATAAAAAAAGAATTATCAGAACTCATAGCATCTGAACTCAAGAAACAACTACAGAAACATAGGGAGGAAACTCAATCTGAAAAAAACACTGCAGTAAAAGAATTAATAACTGCTTCTAAAAAAGACATTGATAAAAAATAGAGGAGATTAGAAAAATGATGAGCAATGAATGAGCAATACAGGAAAGAAATAGATGGCATGAAGCAGAGTCAAAGAGATATAGAGGAAATTAAAATCTCAGTCACAAGCTTGCAAAACTGTTTAAGTGAAAGTGAAGACAGAGTTTCAGGTCTTGAAGACACTGGTGCAGCTAATGAAAAGCTAAGAAAGGATCTCTTAAAAACAACTAGGATGCAGAAAAAAATAATTCATCATTTGCAAGACGATGCAAAGATGAACAATGTGAGACGAATAGGCATCCATGAGAAAGAAGGAGTCAATACAAATGACATTTAAAAAAATATGGGCAGAAATAATAGCAGAAAACTTCCCAAATATGAGAAAACAATCTGACATTCAGGTAATTGAAGCATATAGAACACCAAGTAACCTCAAACCAATTAAAAACAGACTGAGACATATAATAGTCAAGATCCCAGAAATTCAGCTAGAGAATAATATACTGAAAGATGCTAGAGAAAAGAAGCAGATCACGTTCAAAGGAAAACCCATTAGAATTACGGCTGACTTCTTTTCACAAACCATGAAGGCAAGAAGAGCATGGAAAAGAGTACTTCAACTGCTCTATGAAAACAAATTTCAGCCCAGACTATTATACCCTGCAAAACTCTCTTTCAAGTTGATGGAGAAGTGAA